TCCATGGGTGTGGACTGTGGATCCAAATAAAATGAAATCTTCGATAACGTCATTGTCCTCCTCTGATACTATTCAATTCAAATAACAACATAGTACCGTCAAAGAAAAGGAGCCCTGGTGGTGCCACAGTTCAGCTTCTTTAGGTAAAATGATTGTCATGTATATGTGTCATGCTGTCTATGTGGTTCAGGTAAAGGACACTGCCTAACCAAGTGGCACAGATAAAAGTATAGAAATTCAGAAAACCAAGGAGAAGCATAGACTGAAGTAGTCACCGAGGGCTTCAACAAGATCTGGAAATTGAGAATGAGAGCCTTTTCCAGGAGAGCAATTTCACTGTCATTAACAAACATGATCTTGAGACATTACTATCTGCCAGGCACAGTGCTAGGTGCTAAGTCTAGAAAGATAAACCAAACATGATCCGTGACTTCATGGAAGTGACAGCCTAATGGGTATGGCAGACCTATAAACAGAAAAAAAAACAAAACATTAATTCAGAACAGTTAATACTTACTTTTCAAAGAGCAATTATATTTCTTTCATTTGTATTCTAAATTCTGATCTCAATATCCAGTTTGGAACCATTCTCAACAACCTTTTATTATTCTTAGTATCTCTTGCTCTATCTCAGAGTAAGTAAAAGCATTTGTCTCTGTCCAGCTCCGCTGTCTTCAGGCAAACGGGGAGACTTCTTCCTGTGCCTCTGCCCCTTCCTGCTCACAGTCAAAAGCTTTTCACGTAGCTTTCTCTGCCTTCATTCGTTTCATTCTGCTCCTCGATACTTCATGTCCTCACTATAGCTGAGTGAGGACGAGTACCAAAGGATGGTCCAGTAGCTTCCAAAAGGAAGACCCCCTTTTGCCATTCCAGTCCCTTGTTTTCTTCTGCCCTTGGCAAAAGTAGAAAGGACAAACTCACTGCTGTCGAGTCAATTCTGACTCACAGCGACCCCTCCTTAAGTTTCTGAGCCAATATCTCTATAGAAGTAGATTGCTCAACCTTCCTTCCAAGGACTGGCCAGTGGGTTGGAACTGCCAGGCCTCTATATTTTCCTCTTTCTCCCTCTTCATCTATTTTCCCATTCTTTGAGGGTGGATGTTGTTGAGTGCCGTCGAGTCAATTTTGACTTCTAGCTATCCCATGTGACAGAGTAGAGCTGCCCCATA